CAAGAGGCTGGAGGGCAGGGAGCAGCTGAAAGCTGTTTGAGAGGCATGGCAATTTGCAGGGTTCTCTAGGAACATGCTTATCTCTCTTTAAAAGAAAAGCAAGCCAAATTTGGTGGTTTCTTTGTTTGTTTTCTTAAATACACTTGCAGAGAGTTAGGCTTCTAGACCTATCTTTAGACTTCTTAATATGTGGCCCAATTTTCAAAGGTACTCATCATGTAGCAACCCTCCCACTAACTGGCTTCTTTCTTGCTGTGAACTGTCCTCAGGGAGGGGTTTTCAAGTGTTCTCTGTGCTTTTGACAAGAAACATTTATTCCTCTAATAAAAAAAGAATATAACACCTGCCTTTTCTCATGCCAGCCCTCCCATTTTGTTACTCCTCAGCCTCAACCCCAGATAAGTGTCCTGCAAACAGCACTGATAATGTGGCCTGGCCTCTTCCCACCCAGTATAAACTTCAGCAAGATATCAACAGCATTCAAAACTCATCAGAATCACTGCGTTAGTGCTTTCCATGGTATCTGGTGGGGGTTGAGTGCAGAGGAAAATGAGTCTCACTGCTGTTGCTGTTGCTGCTCCTTCCTCGTCAGCATCCCAGGTCAGACGTGGTAGAAAGGTTTGGAGCTCCTGGCCATGAGGAACAGGAAATGTGTGTTCTAAAGAAAGGGCTCTTCCCTTAAAAAGAAAGAAAGAAATGCTCTGTGTTCATTTCTAGGGAAAGCTTTTAGTAAGTGCTTAGCAGCCAAAACTGATAGCGCTGGCTCCCTTTCAGCTTGACTAATTTGAGAATGTTTGTATTTTTTTTTCCCCACTCAACAGCTCCCTCACACACATTATGCAGTATTTTCCACCACAGCAAGACTGGTAGGAAGAAAACTTGCAACAAAATCACATTATTATTTGCCCTAGTTTTGTGTGCCTGCCATGAATTCGTTTTTGTACCTCACAGATTTCTATGAGGGGAAACTCAGTCTGATTAGCATGCTGCAACAATTTTATGATTACATATTCCAGAGGTTGTTCAATCTCTTATGTTATCACTAAACAGCTGATATCTAAATGCAGAGGACCATCTGAATGAGTACACTTGTACTTTTTTGGGTTGATAGGTGTTTTTGAAATAAAAACCGCTGCAATGCATTCCTGTTTTCCATTAAGATCTGAAGAGTTTCATCCTCTGCAGGTTGACAGGAACCACTTGACTAGAGAGAATGTGCAGATCAGAGCAGAGTTTGCCCTTCTGGGCAATCGTGGGGCTGCAACACACTAGCTGGAAACAGTAGTACCAGTTCTATTAGCACTTCAGAATCTCACACAGACCCTCCACAGTTACACCTGACCAGTCATTCCTCCACTTAAATACATTCTTTTCACTTTTGGCTCATACAGAGCTTGACTATGGGGGTTGGAGGCAGCCCTGGACTCACCTAGAAATTGTCAGGTGAGAGTCAATCACGCAGACAAACTAAGAGCAGCTAAATACAAGCAAAGAGCTGTGCTTGATTGCTGATGCCAGCTTTACTCAGGAATGCGATATGGGATTTCTGCAGCTTGTACTGGGCAACATCCTTTACTAAATGTCTCACGTGCTGTCAATTATGCATCACAATTTAGGAAGGGATTATTTCAAAGGTTAGCTGGACAGCAGAACCTACTGGAGGACTTTTTCAGTTCAACTCATTCTAAGTTTGCAATGCAGGAAAAACCTGCCTTTGCTGCATTGCTTTTGGGTGTATTCGTGAGCACATGGATCAGTTTTCTTCCTTTTGTAGGAACACCAATAAATCTCACTGCTTTTGCTTAGCAGGTGATAATGATGCTCAAATGTTGTGTGTCTTTCGAGGTACTGAACTGCTACAAAATGATTGCTTTCTCATACCAAATTCCCACTGGGCTGGATTCATCTCACCAGCTTTGCTCATCCAGAAGGAGGTTAGAATTAGAATTGCCTCCTCCAAGTCAGCTCTCCAGGCTCCCTCCTTAGTCAGCTGAGACGTAGGCACTGCTGAAAGGGGTCTCATTTCACCTTTCCTACCCAACCACATCATAACACGAGCCATCTGGAGGCATCTGTCTGTCTCCACCGACTGGACAGGGAGCATGGACCACTCACTTGGGCTGGACACTTAAGTTTTAGACCACTGGAAGTGAAATGTGATGCATCTCACAAGATTTTTTTTTTTTTTCCCAATAGCATGCAGGCAGTGCAAAGTCTGCATCAGGAAAAAAAACTCCTGTAAATGAAATTTACATTTCAGTGAAATATTTTTGCCCACAAAAGACAAAAATGTCCGTCGAAGACATATGGATATGATTAATTCTAGGAAAAGCCATGAAAATGTGGATCTGGAAGAAGATAAAGACATAAAACCATAAAGTTGGCTGCCACTTTTCAAGTATTTCAGTATGTAGTAATATACATAATTTTAGATAAAATTAAGTTGAAGGTATATTGGTCATTTTTTCTGAATACCTAATTCCTTTTATCCCATTGAACAGGGTGCTCTGGTCACATATCACATATTGAACACACATGCGTGTTCCATCCCACTGGAACAGGTTGCCCAGAGAAGCTGTGGAATTATCCCTGGAAGTGTTCCAGGCCCTCCCTCCTTCCTCACTGCCTCAATAGTGCAGGGAATAGTCTGAAGAACATACTAGAGGTCAGAGCTCCAGGGTTTGGCAGTTTCATAAGGACTGAAAGATGTCCAGAGAGGATCCTGCCATTTTGTGCATTGCCCTCTGTGCTCCTGGCATAACCCCCGATTTGGGAAATACAAAGGGGATGTTCCCAACACATTTTAGGGATAGCATTCATCCCTCACACATGGTTGGGGCCCAAATTGTGTGTCGGACCCCCAAATCTATCTCAGCTTCTGTGGGTACAGTTCCCACCTCTTCCTCTACCAGCCAAATAAATAACCTGCTTTGTGTGCTCCAGTGAATGGCTTGGGATTTGAACCTGTTCCTTTGTCTCTCCTCTCATTTTGCTTCTCACTCTGCATAACAGATGATGTTTTCTTTATCAGGTCACTGCTGCAGTTGGTTAAATGCAGGTTAGCATGTCTGGAACTCAGTGGCTGAAGAGAGATTTTCTTCACTCCTGGGGCAAAGACCCAAATCTTGTAGAGCTCTTGAAGAAAAGTTTTGAAAGCGCTTTGTCTTTCCCTTCGTTTTCTCAATCAAAATGAGAGATTTCTCAAGCAAAATGACAGATTTCAGACAATGGGACTAAATGAGGGGTTAGGTCTGTCTGCTGTGGCTTTTTATCTCCATGGCTCAAGGAGGGATTGATCTCTTTTTGGTACTTGATTTTAGAAAAGCCTTCATGCCCAAGAGCCATGGCCAGATCACGGGGCCTTTTCTTGCTGGAACTAGAAAAGGTGGAACCTAAACTCTTGTCTGTCTTCTTACTGGTCTCGACTGCCTTTTTGGGTGTTTTTCTGTTCAACCTTTTGTTTTCCATGAAGGAACAGGATTTCCTGGTTCTCACTTTTTCTTTCCAGCCTCTATGCACTACGTGGGGAGGGGTCATGTGTGGGAGCCAAGGCCAAGGAGTCCAAGACCACACAGTGCCTGGATGCCAGGTGATGCTCAGCTGAATGTCACTTTACCTCACTGCTCTTCTGAATTTGGCTCCTCTGGCCTGGATTGATCCCATTTCTCCCAAAGCACTGATGCCAGGATCTCAACCACACTTTGCTTCTTTAGTGCCTGGCAGTGTGAGAGGCTGATTCAGCCCCTTAGCTCTTAAGTGCCCTTTGGAAGTGCCCTGTTCTCTCTCTCCCTTGCTCTCTGCTGACTACAAAAGGTGCTGGGATGCACAAGATTCACATCACAGGTGCTTCTGCTGCCCATAGGCCCCTGGGATGCATTCCCTGCATCAATGGCTGTGGTGGAAATGGGGTTCTGTCTGTCTCCACAGCCTGTGCTGAGCCTTGCTGTGGAGCTGGGCAGCCTCACCGCCCTTTTGCTGCCCAGCCACCTCAGCTCTCTGGCAGAGCCTGCTGCTCTGGCAGCGGGCAGGGAGCCCATTCCCCGGGCAGTCCGGGGTGCCAGATGACCCCTTAAAGGAGGTTTTAAGTGAAACAAATGAAAAACAGCTGTAACCAGAAATGCGTGTTAAGCAGGATCTGTACTGTGACACCATGAGATAAATGCATCTCCCACATCACTCCTAAATCAGAACAAGGACCCTCTCAAGAGCAGCTTTCGGGCTGCCGTTACGGTCGGCGACCAAACTCATTTTTCCTTCTTTCTTTTGCCAAATTATTTTTTGTTAAAAGTTTTTGTTTTGTCAGAACCGTGTTCATGCTCTGCATCATTTGTTAGTCCTGCTTCCCTGCCAGTCCTGCCAGGACCCCTGTGCCAGGGGCATCAGACTCCTCTCAAGTGGTAGAGGCACTTCATAACATGTCACAAAAAAGTTTTCCTTTCTTCAAACTGAATCAGCCCCTTTTCCCTTGCTTGGAAGCAATCTGCTTCATTTATTTGGAAGAAATCTTGAGTCTCTGTTTCAAGGAGGGGCAGAAACAGAAGCAAATTAATGAAAAGCCAAGGGTGGGTTACAAGACCTGTGGAGCAGACCTCTTCCACAATCATCCTTGAGATGACCACTGGGGTGTTCTGTTTAACCTGCCTGATCCCGTAGCGGACCTGCCAGTCCCGCTGGGCACCCCGTGTCTCACAGCCCGCTGCCTGGCATCATCCCTCCAGGACATCTGGCACTGATTCCAACCAGACTGTCATTTCCAGGTCAGTCTCCGCATTTCTGCTGACCACGTTGCCCCCATCATGAGATCATGTCTTTCCAGAGGAATCCTGCTAATGCCTTCATTCTGCGAGACCGGTATATATAGGGGGAGCTTCCCTGGGGCTGCACCGCGCAGTCCAGCCAAGGCATCGCCGTCTCCCCAGCAGCGGCACTGCCCCTTCTGCTCTCCCCTTGCAGCCACAGGTCGCAGCAGCAGCAGCAGCAGCAGCAGCAGCAGCAGCAGCATGGACATTACCATCCAGCACCCCTGGTTCAAGCGCGCTCTGGGACCCTTCATTCCAAGCCGTTTGTTCGACCAGTTTTTCGGGGAGGGTCTCCTCGAGTATGACCTCCTGCCTTTGTTCTCGTCCACTATCAGCCCCTACTACAGGCAGTCCCTCTTCCGCAGCGTACTGGAGTCGGGCATCTCAGAGGTAAGGGCCCTTTGACTTCCTCTCCTTTTCCTTCTACTCCCTCCTTGTGCCTCCACCTGCTCCTCCTCACCCGCATCCCACCAGTGGCTGCAGCCCTGTGCTGTGGTGCGAGGGAGGGGGCTCAGACCTCCAGCCCACCACCAGGCACAGTCCACTTGCCCTTTCTTGGGTGCAGAGGGAAACCTTCCCTGGGGATAAGCCCTCCCTTCGAGGAACAGAAACCATTTGGGCTCCTGATGGTTATTTCCAACACGTAAAAAGCTGCCTTTGCTGCTCTGTGCCCACCAGCCGTGTGGCAAGGAAGAGCCAGGCTGCTCCAAGAGTAAGGGCCTGCGAGGGCAGATCGGCATGGGAGAGGAGCCTGGTGGGCAGGAGCTTTCTCCAGCCCCCTCCTCCACCTTGGGAACACGGTGGTTTTAACAATCCCACGCTGAAGGACCTTGGAGCAATCCTCCAAAGGCAGCTGTAGGAGTGTGTAGCCATGGGGGCTGCGTTCTGAGCTCAGGAATCAGTTCTTTCTCTGGCCCTTTCTCACTGCAAGACCACAAGGAAACCATTAAACACGGAAAGGACAAAACACGTGCTGTCAGAAAGTATTACACTGGTTTCCATCCCTCTTTGCTGCTGAGTAAAAATGCGTCTGGCAGAATGCTGAGTGCAAAAGGGTCCCTGACACAAGAATAGCAGCAAGAAGTGACCTCTCCCCAGAATAGTTGCAATGGTGCAGACACCTACCATGGCCTCCCAGTGTCTCTGACACCTACCAAGGCCTCCCAGTGTCCCTGGGTCCCTGTGATGGGAAAGAAAACCCCACCTGAGGCCCATAGTCATGGAAGGAGAAACTGTGCCACTACCAGACCACTCCATCTCTGGCTTTTAAGCTGTTGGTGTTGACTCCTCACTCAGAGCACAGGTCTTACTGTCTGACAATGCTTGTTTCAGGTGAGGTCTGATCGGGACAAGTTTACAATCATGCTGGATGTAAAACACTTCTCTCCCGAAGACTTGAGTGTGAAGATTATTGATGACTTTGTGGAAATCCATGGCAAGCACAGTGAAAGACAGGTAAGTGGAAGTGACATGATGGTGGAGCAACTGGGGAGTCGAGCTCCATTTTCCTTCTTTCCAACAGTTCTCAGCTGAAGGAAAAAAAAAAGAATTTATCAGAAGAAGGAGTTATTTATTGATTGTCACTATTGGCATGGCCAGTTCCCATAGAGTTCCAACTTGATATCTGACAATAACAAGCTAATCCACTCCTCTTTTGTTTATTTTCAATCATCATCTTCCATAACCGTCAGATGACGGTGTCCATTGTTCCCTAATAACACTGGACCAGACAAAGAACATCATCTGGCGCTGCTGAAGCATGGCTGAGTTTTCATAAGCCAGAATCGCTAGTGAAAACAGAGTTTTCATGTGCTGATCTGGGAGAAAAAAGCAAGAGCAAACAAAAGAAAAGAAAAACAATCAAGTGCCTCAGGCTTGGAAACTTTTAACACGTATGTCATGGAAATATCTGTGGGGGTCGAAAAGTGAATTATACCAGCAGGGGTTTAATTCTTCTCATACACATATTTGGCCAGACAAAGCTCTAGTCTGGAAACAGTATGTATTTTTTAATATAGTTATTTTTTCCAGAGGAAGAGAGCAGCTGTTTTCATGGCCAACTTAGAAAAAATAGTTGCATTTCTCATTCTTTTGGCCAGAAAAAGAAGGGGGCCAGGACTGTGGCTGACACAGCATTGCAGCCTAGTAAATAAATACATGGGTGCACATATCCGCCTTGCTTTTACCTTCCTGGAACTCCGGGCTTTGTCTCCAAGCATCCTTTGAAATGAGTGGCCTAAATCAGGTCTCAACCTGTAATATGGCCAAAAACCACACCCTGCTGCTATGCTCGGTTCTTGCAGCTTCAGGGGCATCACGGGGCACTCCTGGCCCCACAAACCTGTAAAGCATTAAAGAAGGCTGTGATGTGCCCAGCGGTGCTGGCAACGCAGCGTCACGATGATCCTGGGGGAATGCGGATGTCCCCGCAGGGCCGGGCAAAGGGAGGCACGGAGGGTCTCTGACGCGCCTTCCCCCCCTTTCCCCACTGCCTCTCAGGATGACCACGGCTACATCTCCCGGGAATTCCACCGCCGGTACCGCCTGCCCGCCAACGTGGACCAGGCCGCCATCACCTGCTCGCTGTCCAACGATGGCATGCTGACCTTCTCGGGCCCCAAGGTCCCCTCCAACATGGACGCCGGCCACAGCGAGAGGCCCATCCCCGTGTCCCGGGAGGAGAAGCCCACCTCCGCTCCTTCCTCCTAGGCCCGCCTGCCACCGCGGCGCGCAGGCTGCCACCACCCGCAGGGCTCATCCCCAGAGCCATTGCACAGATATCAGTGAATATCCAGAGGGGTTCATTTTGTTGGTTCCTCCCCTACTTTGTTTCCTTTTTTTTTTTTTTCTTCCTCCTCCTTCCTTCCCCCCCCTTTTTCCCTTGGATGGAACGAGGGGCTGGGTGAGCAGCTGGTGGACTAATTGAAGCTTAAACCTGTGGGGATGGCATGGATGGCGATGCTGCCATGCTGCTGTACTTGCTGAAAGGGTCTTCGTCCGGTGCTGTAGCCCATATCCACCATCAGGTAGGAGGGAGTGCACGAATAATGCTGGCTCCTGGTGCACCAAGTCTCCAGGCAAGGCTTGGAGCAGGGGAAAAGCCCTCCAGACTTGCTCTACCCCACTCAGAGTTAAACTGGTTACTCTTAAAAAAAAACCCAACAAAACAGCAACAGAGCCAAGCCCCACACTCGAGATCCTGCGTGCGTGCGTGCGATGAACCTGCCACGAGTTCCTTGCAGCCGCAGGAGAAATAATAACATCTCACCTTCGGGGAGTTGAAACGTGGTTTTGGTTGTTGGTTTTTTTTTTTTCAGCGAAGTGTTTAAGTGTGTCTGTTCACACCACTGCCCTGTCATTTCCCTCAGGGACAACTGGCAGGAGGACAAGCACGTCTTTCTACTGTCTTAGTAGGCCCTCGGGGGAGAGAGGGGGGCTCACCGCTGTGCAGAGGCTTCACATCCCCAGCCAGCTCTCCCCAGCCTGTGCGTTAACACACCGTCTCCCTTGCTCTCCCTGTAATTCTAGGGTAGCTCCACCTCTCCCACTGGTATCTGGCGCTCAACCTGAGAACGTGGTCAGTGGCGGTCAATAAAGTGATATAGGAAACACGCAATTGGCTTCGGGGGTTTCATTTGTTCCTTTGGAAGGTTTTTGGAGGTCAGCATGGTGCTTATCACCGCTTAAAGGATGAGCTTTCCACTGTTGGGATGATGGCTCGCCCTTTCTTTCGTGTTCCTGTTATCCTTCATGCAAGCAAAACAAAAGGATCGGAAAAAGGACGAAATTCAGCAGCCTGACAACCATGCCATTCCTTCAGTTCATTGGGTCGGTACAGACAGCAGTGCAGACCTCATCTCCGTGGAACAATGTGAAGGATTTAATCCCAAATTAATGACTAAACTTGCTTGATGGCAGGGCAGGTAGGGTGTAGGTACGAGCTCTCCCTGCAGCTGCCACACATGAAATCCACAGCTCCCAAGTCTGCACAGATGTGAGTGCTCAAGACTGAGTTTCAGCACTGGTGCTCCACTCAAATAGCTTTCCACACAGATGGAAATCCAGGGTGTTTAGGAAAGGCTGATAACCCCACATGCCCATAATTAACCCCATAGGTAAAATCAGCTTGGACATGGCGTACTTTTCCTCTTGGTTGAGATCTCTACATCCAAGTCCTGCAATGGGAGGTGGAGTTTCTGAGGTCCACCTTGGCTCCCAAGTAGAGAAGGTCACTGCTTCCCCGGGAAGAGACACATGTTTGTCTCAATCATCATGTCTTTGAGGGCTCCTGGATCCCACCTACAAATCAAGGCAGGGTGACAACAAAACAAGGACATCCTTCCCAGGGAACAGCACATGTCCGTGCCTTCACTGGGAGGTGACAACAGTCAGAGTGTCTGCTCTGTCAAAAAGCTGACCCCACCAGCCTCCTCCTCTTTGCTGATGATTAGCTGTAAAAAAGAGAGAAAAATGCAGGTTTTTGTTGTTTGGGTTTTTTTGTCATGGGATGGGTTTAAATATTAATATGAGCCATAAACACAGAAGCTTTGGGACTATTTAAATTTAAAAAGCACTTGCTTCCATCTCATCAAGGCCAAAACCCAGGGAGGGCTGGCAGTCAGCAGCAAAAGCTTTGCCTCTTATACAGAGAAAGTGGGTGTGTCCCAAGGCTCATCCTGGTCCAAACCTCCAAGGACAGGGGTGCTGAGAGCATTATTGGGATCAGTATCACAGCAGGATAGTAGAGCCTGCTGGGAACTGGGCAGCTGGAGGAGAAGCAGAGAGAGGGGCAAGGCTGCAGGAGAGGGGAGTGCTGCAGAATCAGGGAGAAGCAGGCAAGGAGGGTGATTACTGCCTGGTAATTAGAAAGCAATAAATCCTCTCTGCGTCTGACACTATTTTAAACCAATTTTTTACTGAGATTAATTACTGGGTAATCTCAAAGCTTTCTGCCAAAAATTGGGCTGCCTTTTGCATTTGCATGTCCAGGGGAAAAGCGTGCAGGAGCCCACTTTGGGAGAGGGCAATTTTGTTCCAGGAGGCATGAAAAGGGCATTTTATTTGAAGCTGCCTCTTGCTTACTGGTGCCTATGTGTCACTCAAAATATTTGACATTTTTCACCCAGAAGTCTTCCTAGTCACACTGCTTTGGGATACTCCTCCTCTTCCTCCCCTTCTGTGCACTTGGCTCTGCAAAAGTTCTTGTTTTCCTCTGCCAAGATTAATTTTCCTTTAAAGAAATTCTTGTCATTCATAGCCTATGACCACGGTTTCATCAAGAAGCTCTTCACCACAGCTTTTCTATGCAAATTCACCTGTTAATAAGGTGTTGATAATACTCCTCAAGGATTAACAAAATTTCTTTGAGGTTTTTTGGTTGGTGATTCAGTCGATGATTTTTCACAGAGGGAAAGGCATCAGAGGACCCTGCCCACATGGAACCTTCAAAGCATCCAGGTGGTTTGGTGTAGGGTGGCCTGTAACCAGGGGCTTCTGCTCAGGGTGACTATTCATCCTTTTTGCAGTGTGTTTTTATTACCTGCCTTCTGTTTCCACACAAACTGATTACCTTGCTTGCCTAAAGAAAGCAGAAATGACTTTAGCTTCCCCTCTAGAGGAATTGTTAAAGGGTTCTGAGGAGGATGCAGCAGACAGCGGTCCAGGGATGTGCACCCTCCTCCAGGCAATTCCCCTTCTTCCCAGAGGCTCCAGTAGCTCAGTGGGGTGGCAGTGACATGGAGAGCAGCAGCAGCTGCTGGTGCTGTACCTGCCCTCTGCCCTCCTCAGTATTGCACTGCTTGGGCAGGGTATGTCACCTCTGCCAGGATCCTGTTTCCTCCAAGAAAAAGCTGGGAGCAAGAGCTGGCAGGATCTGACCTGCAGGCCACCAGCCAGGACACTAACCCTCAACATTTTGGGCAAGGCTCCTTCCTTGTCTCCCCTCTTGGCAGGGGCATAAGGAAGACCCTCCTCACCCTTTCCTGGAGAAGGCACACAGGGCTCTCACAGCCCTCTCTGCAAGGGAGCAGGCAGTTAATGAATGCTGCATTCTCCCTCCTCGCCCCTGGCTGATCCATTACTTTTGGGCTTAAGTCGCCCGGATTCTGGCAGGACAGCCCCGGAGAGAGGCAGGGATTGCCTGGAAAAGCTGAGTCCCCACGGGGTGGCAGCCTTTCCTGCGTTCTGGCTCTCAGGACTCCCTTCGCCTCCCGGCTTCCGACATCTCCCCAGGGAGACGGGAACCCAGGGCGCAAGGCACGTGGACCCGACAAAGGCTGCACAACTCTGGCTTTTCTTGGTTCCTGATCGATTTGCAAGTTAGCCAGTGTTACATAAAATTTGGGAGTAGCATGAAAGTTTGCCAGCATTTCCCCACCTTTCCCCCCTTCGCTTTTTTTTTTCTTTAAAGCAAATTCTGCTGCATGCAACCCCCATAACCCCTCATCCCCTCGGTATTGTCATCAGGATTTGATCTCTGCTACATAAGTCTCCACGATCTGAGGTTAAAAAAGCAGTAGCTGCCCCCATTGGCAGCAGAAAGGGCTCCAAACACATCTGAAAAATTCCAATATTCTCTCAGAAGTGCATAACACTGATACTCTGGGCAGACCTCTGCAGTTTATTTCTGCTGTTGGACATGTAAATTTGAGATAAGCAGCCAGAGGAGACCATGATGTGGAATCTGCCCCCCCTCAACCTGGACTTTGTCGCTCCAGTGTGACCTCTTGTCAGGACTGGCTTGGAAAACCACCAGCTCATGTGAGAAGAGCAGGTACCTGCCAAGTCCCTCATTTCCCAGCTCCTTATCTGGCCGAGGAGGGTTTTCCCAGGGGAAGTGCAATCAGGATCTGTACAGAGCCAAGGCAGCAGGGCTGGAGCCAGGTTACATGGCTGGCGCTTCCCTTGCCATTAACTGGCACTTTTAATGAAAAATGTGAGGTTGGGACATGGTGTAGATGTTTGTGGCATTTCTGGGAGTGCAGCACAAGCAGAATAAAAATGAGATCTCAGTCAGAGAGGCTGAGGCAAGACGATGACGTGATGTAAGTCGACCAAAACTCAGGGGACTTGTCTCTGCCTCAAAGGCCATCCTCCAGCTGTCTTGCAGAGACCTACCACACACCATGAGGGCTGTGAACCCTTCAGTCTTCTTGGGAAGGGTGGGCTCACCTTGGCCTGGAGAAGGTGCTCTGCCTCAGCAGGGGTGGTGGTAGCTGGGCAGGGACTCTGCAAAACCTGCTGCTGCTGGGGAAATCCCTGTCAGCCACCACAGGCTCTGCCTGATGTCCTGCCTGGCTTGCCCTTTCACAGCCCACATTTGCCCACACCACTGTGGGGACAGGGGGCCAGTAGGTGCTGCCACACAGCCGTGCTGGGGGAGCTGTAAATCGGGGAGGGAGCCAGCACGTGTCAGTCGGCAGATTTGGGAACACGGGAGAGACCCAACTACCCTGGCATATAGGCAGAGGCTGATCCACAAGGCCCTGGAGACTCTCCTCCGTAGCATTCATTGCTTCCAGAGAGTGCTGTCCTTGCTGGAGCTATTTTGGGATGGTTAGGGGTCGATCTGTGTAAGGGTTCAGACGTAGGGAGGCCCTGCATGGAGTATTTTCGGCACACAACCTCTCAAGGGGCTCATGGACAGTGTTCCTGTTGAATGGCGTGGGCTGGTGGGTCCCAGGGGAACCAACGGCACAGCTGGCAGTCGG